TGTCTCCATGTTTGTATCCAGTACACTTTTATGTATAAAAAAATACACTAAATACCTGGAGATAAACCAGAAGATCTTAAACCTTCTAACAAAGAAATACTGTTTTTATGTGTGTCATGAAGCAGTGTTAGGTTTACAGAAATGTGCAAGAATCACAAGGAGTTCCAAGAAACTACCACCACTGCCCACAGAGCTAAAAACAAACAAAAGTACAACTCAACTGCCATTGAGTCAATTCCTGACTCATGACTCGAGCACAGAGGAGAGCTGGCCCTTTGGGTTCTAGAGATAAATGTTTAAAAGAAAAGAAAGCATCTTTCCTCTGCAGCATGGTGGTGGTTTTGAACTGCTAACCTTGTGGTCATCCTAACATCCCAAAACATAAGCCGCTACACCAAAAGGCTCTTATTACCCAACAGGACATTTATTTCATGTTATAGATTTGGGAAAGGGTGAGGAATTTGGGGTTCGAGATGGTTCTTTTTTCCTGATGATCACAAGAGATGCAAATCGAAACAATGATGAGATGCCACCTTATCCCATCGACAGCAAAGCTTTAAGAAGAGAAAAGGAAAAAAATGAAACGAAAATGCTTGACAGGATGGAGAGATTTTGTTTTTAAGAACATTGGTGGTATAGTACAATACACATTGGGCTGCTGACCACAAAGCAGTTTGAAACCACTGGCCTCTCTGAGGGTGAAAGATTAAGGGTTAAGGCCCTATTGAATATGCCATCTACAACACAGGCCTACAACCATAGGTCCCTACTGAACATACCATTTACAACTCTCGTTCACATCTTGGGCTGGCTGGAAGGAGATCCGTCAGAGATGTGTATGGAGACCAGGAGACCCTTCAAGGATGACCAATGTTTATTTAGGAAAGTCAGGACAGTCATGTCACAGGAGAAGTCCAGAAAGAGGCTGGATTCATTTGTTAGGCAGTTTAACTGTTGGACCTTCTGCCAACAGTGTTTTAGAATCCACTTCTCATGGCAGCTTAACTGTTAGATCACCTGCCATTGGTTTCGTTTCCACAGCATAGTAAACACTATGGTGCTTCCTCAAAAGAGTGAGAGTAAAAATATCCTATGACCTGACATTCCCTGTACTTGGTCTATACACTAAAGAAATAACCACAGCATGAACAGATGCATGCACACCCACGATCATCACAGGACAATTCAAAATAGTAAGAAGGTGGAAGAATGCATAAGTAAAGTAAATGCAATAAACTACTATACAACGTTAAAGAATAATGAGGAATCTGATCTGTAAAACACCTTTTGACATAAATAG